TGGTTGAGTTTGAGATACATATGCACCTTCCCATCCTTCTAGGTTGCTGCTGTGGCCAACCAGTATACATGACCAAAACATAATGTTACAGTCCCACACAATCTTGAAATTTCACTCGCATTCCCAGGTAGCCCTCAAAGAATTATATATAAAACAAAATTATAAGCCAGCCAGTAAGCCAGCTCACTGAACAAATGATGAAATAATTATTTACAAGTTAGATAAAAGATTTATAATAAAAAATCTGTTTACCTTCAGTTACTGCAAATGAGCATACAACAATTCATTCCAGAGATCAGGAATACCAGGAAGACACCAATGACTGCAATCTTGAATGCCTGAAGAGGAGTGTTTCCCTGATTTTCTTCCATATATAGATGGATGACCATCAATTCTATATTCTGACAAGCCAGTTATGTTCAAGAAAGTCACACGAGTTTTCATCTGCTTTATGACCTCCTCTGCAATTAGATTTTTCTCAGAATAAGAGGAGCTTGATGTTTGAAGCGGTTGAGTTGCTTCTTTACAACTCCCGCCTGAATTCCATTGACCTCCCCTGTTCAATCAGTTAAAAACCACTCAGCAACTACCACGCAGAAGTTCGACATTGCCATATATGAATCTTATGCAACATGAATACATGCAAACCTGAAATGGGATGGTGCTGAACTTCGAAAGAAAACTTGGGTTTTGCGTGGATTGATGCGTTTATCAACCCATGATGCCCAGGTCATCATAGCTTTTCTGAAAGCTGTGGAAACATCAAGCTGTGGATGAATTTGGCCCCCTTCCTGATAGTAATTAATCCTGTTATAAGCTCCAAATGTCAGGGTTCCAATTCAAGAAATATCTAATTATATGAGATGTATCCTTGTATTCCGTGAACATGTCACTTTTTAGTTTTAACACATCATCAGACTTCAAAACGAGTAATAATTCAGTAATGGAACTGACCCAGCTTTAGTTTTGTAATGAGACCACCAATGTGCGGTGTTGAATACCAAAATATCAGCTCCTCTCCATCTAGATGAGCCGTGATCAATGGAATCAATTCGCAAAGTTTGCACCCGCTTCTGCCCTACTCTTGCCTTGCCTTCATGAACCAAGAAATGGGACACATAATATTCAACTGTACACTTGTAATCCTGTAAAACAAACTTCTTCAGAAATTAAATACTGAGTAACCTGCAAATGAAACAACAATAGAGAACAACTGTGAAGAATTACCACAAATTTGAAACTGTAATCCCCCTTCTCTTTGGTGATTCTGCGCCTATGCGTCTCATAGACCCTATTTGGATCTTTGATAGCTCCCATTAACATGCACAGCATGGATTCCCATTGATTCCTATTGATTGAATCGCCCACAAAAACTAGTCTTTTCCCTCTGATCAGTTCCAGCATTTTTGTTGCATTAAACCTATGATACAGTAGTTCAAGAATCATGACTGCTATCTAACTGCATTATGTCCAGACCAAAATAGCAATCTTATAGAATTCATCATACATACATGGCTAGAATTGGTTGTTCAAATAAATAAAAAGACTGGATGAGGAATTACCTTGGAATGTCACAATCTTGTGGTTGCCATCTCAACTTCATGTAGTCTTTATCTAATCTTCCATTACCCTGACAATTAAAACCTTCATCTATGAAAGGACAGGAACCATTTGTGTACAAAGGATAGCTCTCATCGTAGACCCACCTCCCTCTGGTAAAATCGCATCCTCTCACTCTCTTGTTCTCAACCTGCCCGCCACTTGAAATTTGAGTATTTTCAAATGAAGTTAATCTAGTCTTCTTCTCATCAATCCTCTTTTTACTTGTGACTTCAGTCTTATTCAATGCAGCATTTTTCTCTTCAGTCCTCTCAATGTTCACAAATAGGATTGTAGTAGGTGCACTGTGTTCAATTGTTGGGAAATTACCATCAGACTCACCGCCTTTTTCCTCTTCGTGTTCTGGCACTCGGGATTCGTTCTCCTTCCTCTGTAACTGTAACCCACTACTAAGTGAAATCCCAGAAAACCCAGAAGCATTTTCAGGTTTGCTCAAACGGGTACCCTTCAAGATCGAATCTTTTAGACCATTTACTGAAAAATTCCTACTGAAACCAGTCAATGTCTGAACAGCTATGGGTTTGAAACCCAAAACGATTGAGGATGTGTTGAACTGGAGACGGGTTTGTTGGGGTACTGAAGGAGTTGTTTTGATGATCCACATGGTAAAGAAAGTGAGAAAGATGACAGAGGAAGAGATGGTAAAAGAAAATACTAAGAATCTAGTGGGTATGAAGGAGAAACTTCTCTGCCTCTCCATAACTCAATCTCTCACAGTTTTTCACTTGGACTGAGAGAGTGGGGAAGATAAGCTTCCTGGGAGAGAAGTCAATGAGTGTTGGGTGAGATTTGGAAAACAATTGGGAAAGATTGCAAGGCATGTGCAGAGAAGTTGCAGTTTTGAGAGTGTTTGATATGTGATGTGATGTTAGCAGGCAATGCTAAAGCAGAGCAGTTGCTAATTGGGAAAGTGGGTTGTTACTTGTTAAAAATTAACAGATAATCATAATCCATGTACTTGTCTGGCCTTTTAAAATTACAATATTGTTGACGGAATTGACTACGTAACTACAAATACATGTAAAATCACAGGTATAGCCTCATTTGATTTCAATTACTACATGTAAAATTACAATTATGGCATGCTTTCAACAATTTTTTTATGAAAATACACCCAAAAATTGCTCAAAGGTACAAAAGTGGCAAATCACAACATATTTATTTAGCCTTGCTTGCGAACTCTTCTTCTTCCTTTTTTTTATCCCAATTCTTAGCTTAATTAACAACAAGAATCCCCATCTCGCGTCTACATTTTGTAGAAAGTAAACTGGGCAAACCCTTTTGTCTATGATAATCAGATTCTCCTAATATGTCGTCGTTGGCTTTGCTTCTCTTGGAAGTGATACTATCCATCACTTATGGGAATATGTGAAATGAAGGGAGTACAAACCAGAAGAAGAGGAGCATGGCAAAACAGTAATCTTATCACAAACATATCCATATCTCGTGACCACATACTAAAATAATTATATAAGTAAATGGAGAGAGAAATTGATTGAATTGACAATTTGGATCCTAATATCCTATCTCGTGAGTCGTGACAATGTTTTTGTTGTCTCTCATCCAGAGCTGGATGGATCGTAACCCTTAACCCACCAACTTGTCTATACCAAGGTCTAAAATATCGGTGGTATCAGAAATATCGGAAGTCCAAACACACGAAAATATCGAAGGAAATATTGGGATATTATCGGTATCGGTAAAAATTGAATAAAAACAAAGGAAATTGTAAGAAAAACTTGAAAATTTTTATTGAAACTTTGCAGGATGTTTATTTAGTCAAATTATCTATTAGTTTATCACAAAAACTTAGAAGGAAATGCATTGCATGATGGATTTAACTGATTTAAGTTGATTATATAGCGAGCTGGCAAACATTGTAAGTGTGGAAAATATGTAGTAATTAATGAAATAAGATTAAACACACCATAATCATTTATATATAATGAATTACTACAATATTTTACACTTTATACATTGCATTGTAAGATACATTAGTGACTTAGTACCACATAGAGTTCCTATGAAGTTCAAAATTTTCGCTATCTTCATCATCTCTATGTGTAGAGTAAGTATATTTTGAAGAGTAATCATCAAATGATAAATCCCCAAAATAATTTTGCATATAATTGTTAACATGCCACCCATATGGATCCGAGATTGGTTGACGTTGTCCATAAGCAAAATCATTTGAAAATTGAGTCTCAGTGAAGTTCAAAATTTTCGCTATCTTCATCATCTCTATGTGTAGAGTAAGTATATTTTGAAGAGTAATCATCAAATGATAAATCCCCAAAATAATTTTGCATATAATTGTTAACATGCCACCCATATGGATCCGAGATTGGTTGACGTTGTCCATAAGCAAAATCATTTGAAGATTGAGTCTCATATTCTTTCCATGAGTCGCTTGATTCCATCCCAACAACATAAGTAATATGGTGGTTAAGGCGTTGAAGGAGTAAAATGGGAGGGGTTCGAATCCCTCTATGCACAACAGGGGAGGCTTTTCAAAAAATTTCATGTATTTTTTGGGTTTCGTATTGGGATATTATCGGGATATTATCGATAATATCTCGATATATTGCCCAAATCATTCATAAAAATATTAAAGTTATCTCCCCGATATTATCGGGATAATATCGGAATAATATCGATATATTAACGATAACACCATGGTTAGTTGCTAAAATATCGGCCCCCCAAAAATCAGATATTATTGGGATAATATCGATATTTAAGACCTTGGTCTATACATACAATCTGGTTTTTGCACTAAAACATTCTACTAGTCATACATCGAAAGAAGCAAATGTTTTTGTAACCGAAAAAGAAAAGAAAAGAAGCAAATGTTTTCAAGTTTTTCAGCAAGGAAAAAAAAACCAAAAATATTGGGCCATTGAACAAAACAAACGTTGTAGAGAAGACATAGACAGAGCTGCATGAAAATAAAGGTCCACTAGAACCCCAGACACGGTACGCATAAACCCAGCCTGTTAATACATCAATTCAGCCCAGAAACCTGATTGTTCCAAATATATATAAAAATGTAAAAATGTGGTTTACTGATACACACACGACATCCAATTAAAATTCCGCAGACAACATCTAATCTACATGTGAAAATGATGGTGGTTGCTGAGTTGAGTTGAGAGACCATTTTAAGTTTCAAGCAGAAAAGACCGCCTCAACGAGGGCATGCGTTTTCTTAGGGTATCCCAGCCCAACCATGTGGCTGAGATACACCTTCCCATCCTTCACAGTTGCTGCTGTGGCCAACCGATGCTTCGGACCCGAGAATGTTCCCACTACCGAAGCTGTCTCCCAGCCATCAGAGCTCTCCACTAATCTAGCAGAAGGGTTCCCAGCAACTATAATCTTGGTGGGAGATAGTAACTCTAGACCATCTCCGAATGTTAGCATTCCTCCGACTACCTTAATGAGCTTCACTTCCTCTCCCTTTGCTAGATCAATCTTGAACAACTTGCCGCTGAAAGTGTGAATAACTATCAAGAACCCATCTGGGTGGTAAACAATTCCGTTCAGCCCAACCAAGTTTCTGTACCACTCCTTTTCAGTGAAGAGCGGGCTTCTGATTATCGATAGGAACTTGCCGTCCACTCCAACCTTCCAAATTTTACTGGCTTTGCAATCTGTTACATACGCATTACCTTCTGCATCAACTGCAACATCATCTGCGAATGATTTTTCATCACCTACATCCACATCCACAAACAAATGGGAAAAATATGTTATAAAACAACACCCTATAAACTGCAATCGTGATTTGACATTGAATACTAATCCATTATCCATGTCAATCAAAGGATGGAAGAATGTGGGAAGTTGGATAAAACAATATTTGAACAATTCTCCATAATTTTTTTCTTCCTTCTTTCTCAATACCTGATTAAAAAGATGCTAGTAATAAACAAACTTGGCCATCTATCTAAGTTCAGCATTCCAATTCAGTTGGTGAGCCATCCAAAAAGGACATTAGAATAAAATTTCCGTTTCTTAATACATTTACATTAGAAGGAAACTTACATTTTCTTAATAAATTTGTCATCCTTGGGTAGGGAAGGACTAGACTCAAGTATTCACTAAGGCCTAGTTTGTTATGGAGGACTATACTAGACTAGACTAGACTAGCAAAATGCCAAACATTTCCTAATCACATTGCCTTGCCTTCCCTTACGACATCTTGTGCGAAAAGCCTCATGCGAATCCTACCATTGTGAAATATGTGTTGTGGTGGAATATATGGTAAGGTAACCAAATATTTATCGTAAGAAATGGCCAAGTCTCTTTCTTAGCGGATATAACAAACAGCAGAAAAAAGAAAACCCCATGCCTACGCCTCTTCTGAATTGAACAAGTCACAACCCCCACGTCTACGATTATTTGAAATAAAAAAGATAACAGGTGAACCTGTGACCTGTCTGCATCTGTCATTCACTAGTTTGATCAATTATTACTACCCAAGCCAACTCCTAAGATATTTAAAGGAAAATCACACCTACCACTACAGCTCAGCAGACAATACAATAAAGTTTAGTTTTTGGGAAATAAATACCAATTTCCCAAACCATATGCTCTTTACATATTTGATTGACCTGAATTAGATAAGTCCAGCTACTGACACAATGACACAATGACACAATGACACAACGACAAAAGCGTAATAATTTAACCAACTTTCCAAGATTTATAACTCGATCGCAGTCAAACTTTTATGTGGGCTTGCCCCCAATTAAATACAGAAAACGGTGAGTAGTAAGTAAAGTCAAATCAAACGAGCAACGGCCCAGATCCAATATCAATAAACACGGAAAAAGCCAACCCAAAAAAATCTTACTTGGGCCACTGAGCTGGGTGAGAAAGACCCTCTCCCACGTGGACAAGTCGTAGGCGGCCAGCGCACCGTAGCGGTTTCCCTTAACGTCGGCAGTGGCGACTAGGAGGCGATTCCTGGGGCGGTCGATGACGAGTCCCAGCGAAGCATTTCCAGCCAAGTCAACGTGTTTGACCACGGCCACTTCCTGCAAAACTTTGTGATCTTCGTCCTCGGGCACCGGAATCTCGCCGATGCCGCCGCCCAAGAACGAGACGAGGAAGCGACGGTTCAGATCGTCCCACTTGGCGCACTCTCGGAGCCAGCCGGTGCTGTGGTAGTGGTACACGTGGGTGGTGGGTTTGGCCAACTCCAAGGATATTAGGTAGCCTATTGGTATGGCTGAGAGTAGAAGGAAGATCACCAGGAATTTGGGGGAGCACAGTGAAGAGCAGGCCATGCTGGTCAATTCTTGATTTTCTGGGGTGTTGGTTTTTTGGCCTCTTTTGGGTTCGTCGAGTGGGGAGTGGCTTCCTCTTCAAAAACAAATAAATATAGAAGATGTTCATAAAAACCCCCAAAACCCAAGGGTGAAAAGAACGAGGTTCGCCCATGTTAATTTTTTTCTATATTAATTATTCTTTTTTTTTTTTTTTTATTCTGATATTAATTATTCTATACTATGAGTCCTCACTTGGAGAAATGATGGTAGGGTACTAAAATATTGCTACTTAATATAACCGGTAATATATAGGTGGCCGGACAACTTGGTTAAAATTTATTATTTTATAGTATAGTCAGTGGTATAAATAAATATATATTATATTATAACACATGAACGAGTTAAACTCTAAATTATATCTCTTCATCATGCTACACTATAATTTTTAGATGTCCAGACTATATTATAATTACTCAAACAGTTTCAACGTACACAATAAAAGGAATAAATGCGAAATTTGCTTTTCTGTCTCTATTTATTTATTTATTTCCCAATGAATTACAATTATTTAAGAAACAAAAAGGAAAATGATTAATACATTTGTCTGGTGTAGATTCATATTATAGGAATGTTACTTGAACTAATGCAGAGCCTATGTTCGGTGTATGATATTCATATATAGTAAATGATAATTAACAAGAAATATACGTAAAATGAGAAAGAAAGAACGTTTAGTGTGTTTGTCCATAAGTGCATGCTGGATTTCTCCGTTTAGCATCCACAGAAAAAGTAATATTCATTCATACAAAGAAAGGTGTCTCATTTACCAACCAAAACAATAATCCAAAAGTGTCTCTGTCTTCTTCATCCACGTAATTGTTTTAGAAACCTTCAATTTAAAAAAATTAACAGATTTTGTTCTGAAAATCTGCTCTGCTGCTTTTTTTGGTAAATAAATTTGTTCCTTATTTTATTTTTTGGTCTGAAAAAGAATGGCAGACGTATTCAGAAAGGCTGACATGACATCTGCCATTTCCAATATGGATTCAATATTAGGGTGCTGTAAAATATCCATATTTGGTTGTTGAAAACTGAGGCTGCCGGTGCTCGGTGATTAAAGTCCCACCAAATTCTTGGCTGCCAATTACGACCATTGACTATAATTTTGCATCATAAACAACCAACACTAAAATAATTCCAAATGTGGAAAATGATGATGCATTTTTAATAAGAAACACAACTAAGCTTTTTCTCAGAAAATTAGTCACACCTAAGCTGCTATAAACAAATAATTAAATACCAAATCAAACGGGCTAGGGAATATCAAATTATCAATACTGAAATTTAACTTAAATTAAAATATCTGATAGTATGCAAAGCCCTACCGCTTAACATAAAATATACGTATTCTATTTCTCGGAAAAAAGAAGAAGAAAGAAACATGAAATATACGTATTTTCAAGACTGTTTCGTAGAAGAATACAAACGAAGACATCAAATGGGCTAAATCAAACTTGCATTCGCAGTAAACCTTGTAAAGACTCAAAGCCCACAAACAAACAACAAACACTAGAGCATTATAAAGCCCAACCCTACAGTAGGACATTATAAAGCCCACAAACAAACAACATTTCAGGGCAGAAAGGAGATTTCACAATTAAGAACGAAGTGCCTACACTACAGAGCAGGGCAGGCTCACAGCCAATCAGTTGACAAACGATTGAAATTTGTGGGAAGCCCCAATTTTCGGATTCACAATCTCACAACCGTTTCTTGTTGTCGCAGCCTCCTTCTCGGTCTCAGGTAAAAACCCTAACATCGACGACCGCACTTGACTCTTTTATTTTGATTTTGCTTTTTCGCTTATTATTCTCTTTGAACTATCAAATTGTGTTTATAGGGTTTGTCTGAAATGATTTCTTTACTTTGCTATTTGAATCCAATTACTTTGCGTTTCTAGTAGATTCGATCTGGATTTTCGTGTTGTTTTTACTTATCTGTTTGATTCACCTGAAAATGTATGATAAAATTCGATCTTGGGATGAAGGGTTTGGAGAAAACCAAACTCTGGACCCCAACAAGCATGTAACACACTTGTAATACTTTCATGGATTGTACAAACAGGTTTAGATCCTAACTAAAAGAAATTATTTCATGCCAAACTCATTTTGTGAATTAAAATTTATTTATCCCTTTTTGTTCTGAAAGTTTCCCATGGTTTTTAACTTTCTAGGCATCCTGTCATAGGATTAAATTTTGAGGCGTAAACTTTGTTGCCAAATTGTGATACTGGTCTGTTTAGTTATGTTCTTGTATACGTTTTCCCATGGGGACACACACCTTATTGATGAAGCCACAAAAATCCAAGTCCTCCTGTTTTGGGTTCAATCGCAGGTGGTGTCCCTTTGTTGCCCAACTTCAAAGGAAGTTCTTAAATATGTACTGAAACTAACTTCAACTTTTAATGGATTTTATAACAGAGTAATATCTAGTCCTAGTTTCCGTTCTGAAATTTGTCTGAATGATGTTAAACGCATAAATTTCAGCGTCAGTTTGAATGCAATAGGCTTGTTGCTTGTTGATATGTTTCTTTTTAGCTTTGTGCCCAATCATTCAAGCATAATGAGAATATGAAACTTTTCTAATTGCAGAACAAGCGGAATGGCTGGTCATAAGATTGCTCATGCCACACTGAAAGGACCAAGCGTTGTCAAGGAGATATGTTACGGCATGGTGCTTGCTTTGGCTACCGGAAGCCTTTGGAAGATGCATCACTGGAATGAGCAGAGGAAAGTGAGGGTGTTCTATGACTTGCTTGAAAAAGGTGAAATTAGTGTTGTTGCTGAGGAATAGATGGTTTCCATCATGATTTGATGGATGGCTTCAACAGTGTATTAATCAATCTTTCCTTTCCAGGGCTCCTGAACTTGAGATGAGCTTAGTTTGGGTATTGAAATAATAAGTTTATCGTACTTTTGTGCGCTACAGTATTGTTTCAAATTAATGTTGTTGATATTTGTTGCTCCCTTGTGATTGCATTTATGGTATGTTATATGGTTGTTTTCTAATGAATCGAGCGTGGTAATTTTCATGAGGATTATGCGTTTCTCATTTCCAAACTCTCTCGAGTACAATTAGGTGCACTGATGGAAGGTGGGTTAGCGTAACCAATTCAAGAATACCCATTGACATTCGTCAAATTATAATTGGATTTATAATAGTAGAGATTGAAAATAAATAAATGAATGTAGCTCTAAAATATCGCATGCGATGCGATAGTCTGCATAAATAGTTTTTGTTATTTTTCATTCAAGAGCTTTATTTATGGTACACAAGCAAGCCTAATCCAACCCTGCCCCTAACCCTCCTATCCAAACATTGGCTACTCAACGTCGGCAATGCTGAAAGGATTCTAGAGCACAAGAAGTTTGGAATACAATTTCAAGTAATACATCGATCGATATTGTTACAAATGCAAATTTCACTTCGACGAGGAAGCATCTTGCAAATAATAATACATCACTATTGTTACAAATGCAAATTTGCCTTTCGACGACGAAGCGTCTGTGTTGTTGGGTATCATTTGTACGCCACATTGATGTGCAAACCAGAGTCCTCAGAAGCCAAGATCAGCAATTTATTCTACATCATATCAATTATGAGAGAAACAAATAAGAAAAAACCCACAGCTTAAGAAAGGACCTATTATTCATCAACATTTACATAGGTATATATGTCCCAATTAATCTTTTTATGTTTGACGAGAAGTTCTGAGACACCAAGGCTTGGATTTTTTTAGAGCTTAGCAAAAAGGTAATGTGAAAGAATTCAAGTACTTATCTTGCTTCTTTTCATTTCAGAGTTATTTCTGTTTTCTCCTCTATTTCTATAACAGTAAATAAATTACCATAACAATGACCTTGGCAAAGAGTCAAATCCTTCATGCTCAGTATTTGACACCTCTGAGCCACTGCCTCCACTAGCAGCAATTGCTTTGCTTTCAGAATCTTTAGATACTGTGCCTGAGTTGTCTTTACTCGCATCAGGATCTACATTTACAGTGGAAGTGTGTGACACGCAATATTTCTGCAACCATCTATCAGTTTCCCATAGCACATGCATGATGCTCTCTCTTGAAGCATAGCCATGGCTCTCGTAGGGAAGAATCACAAGGCGGCAAAGAGCACCGTGACCTTTCAGAGCATTAAAGAAACGATCCGACTGCATAGCACATAAGTTGACAACTCATAAACAAGAAGAAATTCATCATTCCACTAAGCACAAAGAGGAGAAAAAATGGTTTTTCATGTTGTCAAAGAGTTGAACAAATTAAACAGATCAAAGGTCCCCACTTGTGAAAGAGTGAAAGAATGAGAGGGCATGAAGGACCTTTTCTTTTTCTTTTTGAGAGGGCATAAAGGATGTTGTGAAACAGAGTAGTTAACAGCAATGCAGGAAGGGGGTGAAGGTTTACCTGCATGGTTAATGTTCCGGGATTACTGTCTTCTTCTCCATGGATAAGCAAGATTGGCTTCTTAATTTTATCAGCTGACATGAAAGGACTCATCTTTACATAAGTACTAGTTGCCTCCCAAAGAGTTCTATCCTCATTCTACACCAATAAACTAAAGAGTCAAGCCATGAAAACAAAAGGTAAAGTATTTACATAGAGATAATATCATGGCAAGAGAAGATATCAAAACACATGGATATATATTTAAATCAACTTCTGGTAAGGTACCTGAAAACCAAAAGGAGTAAGTGTTCTGTTGTAAGCACCAGATCGAGCAATTCCGCAAGAGAAAAGATGAGGGGCATGTGCCAAGAGGTTTGCAGTCATGAATGCCCCATATGAATGTCCCCCAACAGCAATTTTGTCTGGATGAGCCACCTTAGTAAGGGTAGCACCAAAAGAGGTTTTAGGTAAAGATTTCAAAGTCAGAAACTTGCTAAAAAAGTTCACACTGCAAAAATGAAGTTGCTTACTCCTCGTCGAACAACTTCCTCCACAGCAGCCTCTGCGCTTGCAACCAATTGCTCCACATACCTGGCAAAGTATAAGCATTATAATTCATCTGATCCATCGTTTCCTGGTTAATAATGCCATGAATTTATGTTATATGGATCATCTTCTGTCACTAAACTTATGAGAAATGCTTATGAGTTCATAAAGAACATTAATTATAACCCATGTTAATACATATGCGACTAAAACGTTACCTATCATTTGCTTCATCATCACCCTCACCAATTATAGGAATTGTTGGTCCAGATAGAATAGCAAACCTGCAGGTTTTGGAGTAATCAAAAAGAGGTCCAGCATGTTTAAAACAATCCAGACACCAAAAGGTCCAATACAAATAAGGACCAAACGAACAACAGAAACACCAAACCATAGTAAGAAATGAGAAGAGTAATGCATGCCTTCGAGCTAGCCAGAGGAGAGCGGATGTTGGACCTATGCCAGCAAATTCATTAGGAGAACCACGAACTTGTCCAGCAGCCTCTTTGCTTTTGAATTCTCCAGGGTAAGACCAGACTAGACATGGAAGAGGGCCATCTCTGGATGAATCATAGCCTGGTGGAAGGTATAACGTTGCAGTCAGTTGAACCCCATCCTTTCTCTGGTACTTGACCATCTCTTTCTGTAATGATGCCAGCTGTGGATATGGATGAGGGAAATTTGTAATTTGGAATGCTTTCTTTTCTGGCCAGCTTAGGATATAATACTGCGTGTTTTCAGTTTTTGACTCTTTGGAAGTCAATATTTTCAAGTGATCAATGGGCAGATCTCCTTCTTTCTCATCAGACATCAAAGCAACAACAGTCTCATAATACTTTTCTTTGTCACTCTTCCATATTCTTTCTTTATTGCCTGTATTTCTGAAAGAATTTGGTTGAGGCCACCACAGCACGAATAAGCACTTGAAGAACGAAACAGAAACAAGAAATTATAAAAAACCTACATGTCAAACAAATCGAGGAATGGGATGTTTCCCTCTGGTGTAGCACCATTTCCATTCAGTAGTAAATAAGTGCCTTCCTCATTTTCTTTCTTTACTTTTGCAAGCACATACGTCCCAGCAGGAGTTCTCCGCAGCATAGGAGAGCCAGGATCTGAATACACATCTTCGGACGACCTATCAAATAGGATGCGCGGACTGACATCATTTGATCCAGGAGAAATCACCCAGGTTCTCGTTCTCCGTGTTTTGTACCAAGACTCATAAACTAGAGCCAATGAATCATCAGACCAAGAAATCCCTCTGTGAAATTGAAAAGTTCAAATGCATCAAAACAAGTATGGCTAGTGTTGGGCCCACCATGAAGTATTTATGCTTCCTTAGCACAATTTTAGAAGTCTTTAGAAATACATTCCCCTTTGGAAACATCATTCTTTCAAAAATCCCAACAAAACAGACATATGAAAAGGTTGAAATAATTTTCCAGCACACATCCACCATTAATGCCAATAGAAGATAAAAATTAATAGCTTAAATTCATACCCATAGCGGAGATCAAGTTTGTGCAAGATCATTGGCCCTTCACCTTCTAGTGGCTCAGCAGGCTGTGTATAAATTATATCGCGTGGAGAAACGTCCACTTTCGCATCTCCTTCATCTTGGGTCTCCACCCTAGTAAGTTCACAAAGTCAAAAAGGCCACTGAAACCATATACACAAACTAAACTGTACAAGTCGTAGAAGAAAGCTTGGATAGTTTAGTAACAATGATGTGGAATTAAAACACAGTATAGACAGTCATTCTGCTTTTTCATTTTTCGAGTGCATGTGTTAGAAATTTATTTAACTAATTAACGTTTAGAAAACTACTCCTTTATAGACAGTCCTCATTGAGTACTTGACGTGATATTATGAGTGAGAGAGAGACAGAGAAGGTCTCAAACAGATATCACTTAAGATATCCAAACAGTTTGAAAGCAGGGCATCATATGCATACCAGTAGAGTGTTGATGGTTTATCTGCTCTCCAGTTGATTGAACGCATCCCTCTTCGCACACTGTTGATTGCAATGGGGATGTCCTCAGCAAGAGGCAAATCACAAAGCTCTCTAATAAGCTTCCCATCAGCTGTCCACAGATCCACCTTCTTGGGAAATCTTCCGCATGGTACAATGAACGAGTATGGTCTGTGAATTGAACTAATTAAAAGGTATTTATGATCCGGGGAGGGGTCCATTGATGTATATACAGCCGGAGGACCAATTTCCTTCACCGTCCCATCCAAAGAAGCCAAAACAAGTTGTGTCGTGGCATAGTAGTCAAACAAATCTTCATCATACTCATCCTTCAGCAAATCCTGGAAGGTCCTAACTTGGATAATGCTTTTCTGCTCGTTAGATTGAATTTTTGGTCCAAAAGGAACCCAAGGTTTCTTTGGCGGGTCTCCACGCGACAGGGGAATGGTGCAAACTAGCAAAGAAGAATCATTCACCCAAACGAAATTGTCAAAAACGGCATTCAAAAATATTTCGTCTGACTTAAACAAAGGTCTAGCGATCCCCGTTTCCACTTGGGCAACCCACACTTTAAGCTTACTACTGGTACTTTCCTCCTCATCAAATCGGATGGTGAAGGCTAAATGGCGACCATCCGGGGACCAAGTAACGAAATTGATCTTAGCACCATCAGGGAATCCATGTACCTCTATTTCGGGCCCAAGGGTACCATCAGGCAACAATTGATGGATCCCAATGCCCGTGTAAAACGACATCCGAGTCCTTGTATTGCATTTTCCGTCAATACGAACGCCGGCCAGCTTTTCCTCGGGTTTAGCAAGTTCTGCCAATGGCGGCAAAGATCTCCGCTTGAGAAACAGTATCTTATCCCTATGTGGTGAGAATGACAAGGCGGGAAGTGGTGGAGCATCCACGATATCTTTAATTTCTTGTGGAGGAAGACGATATCTAACTCCCAACGTGGAGTCTTCTACATAAATATATACAAACATTCGAATTACGAGCAGAAAATGTTTCAAGTTTAAAATTCGCAACTCACATACCAATCAACTAAGTGATGAGGAAAAGCAAGACAATAAAATTTTATAAAATTCA